TAACGGCATTTTTATTGGAATTGGGTGCAGTTGTCTGTATTACGGGCGATTCCTGTTCTCATGTCCTGGCTTAGGCTACCATATAAGTCATCCTAATCCACATTTTTTAACACCTGGAAGGGTTTGTCAGGTTTTTGGTTAGGGCACCCGGCTCGAATTAACTACTTCGTGATAAGGGCTCCTTGTAGTCTCGTGCTTCAACGCACAATGATTGGAATATACCCAGTCTGGGAAAATAATTCGAACGACTAATCTAGTTCGAGTTGATGGCTCTCGTGATTCGGAATGCGTTTTGCAAAATGCTCCAGTACCCCATTTTCAGACGTCTGCCTGTCAGTTTACGGTAGCGACGACCGTGTGAATTTGCATACATGTCACTAACACTCGGCCACTCCCTGGAGTTGGCCGAAGGCGCCATCTTGTCCAACTGCGCACCTGAACAGGCTCTATCGACAGGCGCGTTGGGCGGCCTGGCTAGTCACCCTTGACCTGACTTTCCGCCTGATCCTACAGCCGACTCAGCGCATGGGCCAACCCATCAGCCAATCATTTTCTCCTGCTCACACGGACCCACAAGAACAGGACACCACGAGTCGCTTTCTGTAGCAGACATATTGCTCTGACTCACAAACAAACTGCCAAATTGAGGCGCACTACTCAGCATACAGAATACGCCAACTTTCCCAGCTCTCTGACTCCTGCCATTGGGTGGACCTACTGTATATTATACAGGTCTTTTTGAGAGCCCTGATGAATTAAAAGACTACCCTGTGCATGTAGCGCTCTGACAGTTCCTTGCTGCACGGTGGGCTATAAAAAGAGAGGTTTCTGTCAAATTACTCTCTCAGTCGACTTTTGGTGCTTGGGATGGTTGACATACTTTTGACACGAAAGGGGTTCAATTCGTCTCAAACGACACGGACTTTTTTTCAATACAGACTCGATCAAGGAGAAAGCCGTGGCCTATTATATTTGTCATATGACCTAAGCAGGATGGTTAGATGGGGGAACCTAGAGGAAATCCCTGCAGCTGTTACTTGAATTCTTTATTGAAGGAAAGGTGATGTTCTAGGCAGGGAAATCCGCATCGTAGGGCTAGAAGTTTTCTCTTCCTTACTGCCTAAACTATCCGCATGGATGATATTGAAAAACGCCACTATTTCACCCGGTTTTATTGCCGTTCCATTTAATTTTTCTAGGAGATCAACATAATTCCCAACTGAGGTTTTCGATATTTTTTTAATGAATGAGCTTATTGGACTGGACTTTTAATAATCTTGTGTTTTGGAGCATGGATTAGCGATGGTATTTATCGCGTAGGACGTCATTCGTGTGCATTTTGTAGTCACAAAACCTTTGAGATGGTCGGCTAGACTACGTGATGGTTTCTTTCCGGTAAGACTATCGTTGGAAGAAATACCCGTCTTAGTAAGGCCTGCTTACAGCGGCTTGCAGCTTTACTTATCTGCTAATAATAGTAATAATAATAATAAAATCTTAAAATGTTCCGCTTTGATAAAGAAGACAGATGATCTAACACAGGAACGATTGGTATTGTATTCTGAGCTTTCGAACTCTTACCGGAGTCCATCGTCAAAGATGGGAGGCAGCAACAAGAGAGTGGCTAGTAATAGCCTGTGAACAAGCAGTTAAAATGTGAACGTGTTTTGTTGAATAGCGTCAGGAATATACACAGTTTAAAAAATGCTAACAGTGATATACTTGCATGTGATATCTAACACAAGTGAATTTCACGCTTATTGCTCATTTAGTTCCGTTATTTTTCATCGTATACTCATTAACTGTATTTGACACCCTAATTGCGTTGAAGGTGCTTCGAAATATTTTGACAATGGCTGATGCCGGATTGTTACGAAAGACGATAGCTCGACAGTTGCCCTGGCGAAACGAATAACTTCAAAGTCGGCACCATCATCACAATGAAACGCAGAACACCTTTGATTGGCCAGGCAGGGGCGTTTCCATTTGGATTTTAAGAAATAAGAGTTGGCGGTTAAGCGAGAAGGTGTTCCGTGAAAAGACAATATGCTATCAATTTCGTTTCAATTGTAAACTGCGGTTTTTATTTCATATTATCATGCTGTAGGACAAATTTCGTACTCCAAATACTGATATGCGCTGTGTTCGACTCATTAGGCGTTTTGGGACCCAGATTAGGAAGGGAAACAGAGTGTGGTAGATGCGACGCAATTCTACTACTACTTAAAGCCAATCCATGCGCTTGCCTCCAGTTTGCTGAAGCACGCGATGGACATCGTCGAAATGGACGGTCGACCTGTCGGATGTTGTGGGTAATTTACGTATACCTGTCAAAAGCCAGCCTCATAAATTTACGACAAAGGGACTAGGCTTTGCAAGAGATATGATTATCAGTTGCATGCAAACTGAGCACAGATGAGTGCCTGGCTGTTTTAAGTCTAAGTTTATGCCTCGACCGAATCCACAAATTTAAGACAATTGAAAGATTTTCGCAACCTATCGCTTCTAGGAACCGAGAGACAAACGTTTTTAGAGTACTTAGTATATCGCAGAAAATTATAATGAAGAATTATATGAGAAATTCGAAGCATTTGTTCCCCGGTACGAATTTAAAGCAAGCCTAAACAACAGGATTTATTGAATTCAATAAATTTTGCGACGGCTTTTCAACTGCATCCCATCTTCGCATGACTCATATAACGGATAAAAGCGTACAGCAGCCAGAGCCGATGAGCACTTGCCTAATTGGCTTTTCAACCAAGAAGACAGAGTACCACGATCTTCGATTGCTAAACATCTGATAGACAGCGGTCACTCTGTCGACCTCGAAACAGCTTTCCGAGTATTTGTTCGAGTACGAATAAATCGGACCCCGCGCTACTTGAAAGCGGTCTACGTACGACTGGAGAATTCCGACCTGCGTAAGCAGCTAGACCTCGTGGTCAACCTCAAACTGTCTTCGTAATTGGGCAACTAATTTTAATGACAACTTGGTTAAAGCTAACTTCCTCTTCTCCCTTTCGTTCTATAGGCTGATTTAATGTAGTGTCGTTCAGTTGATCATTATTTACAGTGAACTATGATCTCCGCTGTTACATATTGATATTCTGTGAAATTTCATCTGCCGTATGCTTCTATCCGTTATCTGACTCATGTAACGACGGAATTTAGTTGAAAAGCCCTCACGAAATTCATTGATTTCAAGAAATCCTGCTGTCTGCACTTGTTTTAAATGAGCAATTAAGCAATGTAAAAGTTAGGACCATCATTTGAAAAAAGGCGCTTAGAGTGCACTTAGGTTATTTTCCTACTGACTTACATAAGTATCCAACTTGGATGGACAGTTCAGCAGTTTCCGGGTAATAGTCTGATTCCGTCTCGGGGGCTCCCAACCGCCAGTACACCTGTCACCGGGTATTCTTCGGTATCCAAGTTCATGAAGTCGATCACGGTCATCTTCCGTCAGCTCGCAGACATCCAGGTCAGGTGCATGAGGGTTCGGTACACACTCAGTGCTACCCATTTGCCGCCAGAAACCGTATTCACTGAAGAAATAGCACGGAACAAGTTAATCTAAGTAGGAACGATGTTATCACCTCTTAGTTATTGGGCGGTGGGCTATATAGACACTTAAATACATCCGAGGAGAAGTTGTAGAAGGCAACATATTCAACTGTATTTGAAATTTATCAAGTAAAACCCTTGAGAATTTGGATGGGAATGAACTAAGAAGGAATGAAATGGCAGTTTTTAGGAAAAAAAGTAATTTAGCAGATTTAAATAATGCATTTTAACCGATTGAGAAAAACTCGGCTGTTTCGGTTGGACTCGAACCTAAAACGCCAAGGACTAGGCTTAATACAGCCAACGGCGCTCTGATCCCCAACGCAAGAGAGCCACCGGAAACCGTGAGTTGAATCCTAAACAACGACTTAAAAGTTCGTTCGAAATTTCTGCTGATTATGCGTAAACTCCAGTTCTACAGACTCGTATGTTTGTATTCAAACTAAATGCTATAGTCTGTTTTACTCTTTTTTGATTCGATTAAGCCGCCATTCCTCATGTATACAGCGTTCAAGGGACATTTCGGACAGTTTGGCAACTGAGTAACTTTCACAGACTATTAAGTTAGAAGCGGCTGCTTCCGTATCTCTTTCAAAGTCGTACTTTCCTCCTGGCTTTGTATCCGATTGAAGCCGAAGCACTCGAAGGAGATGTAAATGAAAAGAAGTCCGCAGTAAGCTTACATGAACTTTTAAAATCAAAAGTAAATAGTTCGGCTCAGATGGAAATTTAAGTTATGTTTAAAGAACCGTTTAAATGCATTAAAAAAATTACTGCGTTGACTAACCATTCATAATCGGCCTCCGTACATTCACACGTTTCAGAGGATATAAGAGAGTGAAAATTGGCATCCGTGAAGCATCTAGTGGATGAAATTGAAATTTTAATGAACAGATAAGTAAACAGGAGCTGCTAAAAAGGCAAGAAATAGTTGAATCCACAGAAAAGCAACCGTGGAACATTAAAATCCCTCATATTGGGGAAGTCCCCGTCTATTTTCAGCCGTCCGGAGGCAACTTAGACTAGACAGTAGGAGCTTGTCCATACAGTACTTCATTAAGGGGGTTTAATCTGCTTTCATGAACTGAGACTCCCCGAGCAGCCTTCGCCCGTCAGTCTCGTAAGAAAATAAGAAGGTCATAGCCTTCAATTAATTACTTCGCAGTTGGCGCCGAACGGTGAACTTTTATATAATTAATTTTCATAAGAGGCCGCCCTCCATTTCTAAAACATTTAAGTGGGCAACTCTGACGCCGAGCTGTGGCTGCTGAAAAAAAACTAGTAATGTTATTAACTACTTATTTGCTGTTGCGGATGTTTCGGTGCTGCAAACAAGTTTTGAGTTTACATATGTAAAAATGCATTTTTCTGCTGACACATAGAGCCTCCAGCCAGCAAATTGCATGAAAACGACGTTGAACACGACAACACACAGAAATGCAGTTATTTAAAGCACAAAAACGCTGATAGCACCCTAAACATGTCAAACAAGCTATCAATATACCGTTTACAAATGGAGCATAAAAAGTTTGCAGCAGATTCAGATGGACAGAGTTCGTCCGCTAAGCAAGCCTTTGGTCAGAAATTAAGGCATTTTCTCGAACTCCCGAGGTAGTTCTTAAAAAATGAGTAATTTTAAAACTGCATCTCCAGGAACAACTTCGAACAAGTCTACAGTTCAGGGATATCCCTACAACAGGATAGCGTCAATCAGCAGAAGTTGGTGTTTTCTTAGTTCACAAAAAACCGTTCGCAAAAGGTTCTGCATGACGGACATTCAAACTGGGAAAACAGGTTGACGCAGAACTAGCTATGTTTAATTGTAGAAGTGGAACTCTCCGAGCAGGCGTGCACTATGGACATGAATGCACACCCTAGGACTTAATACAGGCCAAACGAAATCAGCAAGTGCTCTACCTTTTGCGGCTGAGTGTCCAATTTAAATGGTCTAAAGTAGTACTTCATCATCAGCCCGCGACCAGGCTTCTTTAATGTACATGCTTATCGTCATCTGGGTAATTCAGTGGAACACTGATAAACAAATCGCCAGGCGGCCTCATCAAAAAGGTCAATCACCCCTGCGAGCAGCGCAGACGCGTGCGTTATAAAAACTTCCAAAATACGACGTTGCCGTATCTGCCTTCATCTGGCTGACTTGGGATGAGCTGCGAGTGTACTATGTTTTGCTCTGTTTGCTTATATCCACAGTTCGCTTTCGGCAGTAGCAATAGCCGAAACAACGAAAGAAAGAGTTTAGCCTTTGCAGGGAACGCTTCTGAAAAGAGTTGTTTGGGTTCTAAAGTACGATAAGAAACATTTTGTAACAAATGCATTTCGGTTAAATACTTGGAAATAATAAGCATGATGGAAAGGAAAGCATCTTAACAAAGGTAAACTTCCACCAAAAGGAAGCAGAAAGTGGCCGAATATTGGATGTGCATCAGATTTGAGGCGCTTTTAGAGGCTTTTTTGCTTTTTTCAGGCTGAATGAGTTATAATTCAACGAGCCTAACAACAATGTCACGAATGAAAACATAAACTGGTTGTCATATATCAGCAACGAAGAAGACCACAGCAGGCCATTTTAGCAATGGCTAATTTAACAAACGAATAAAGGGGACCAAAAGTCGCAGTAGTTCTGTTTTCACTGACATTTTGGGAAGTAAGATGCCGGATTGTGGAGAACATTTAGTAGTGTTTGCTGCATGCCCTGAAAGGAGATTTTTAGTCTTGTACGGACCATAGACTTCCAAAAGTATTCCACACTGTTTATCATGAAAGACTCGGGAGTTGTTACTTTTGATGTTGGTTTTCGGTTCTTTGAAAATCCAGTTTGCGGGCATATATTCGTACAGGGATGTCGGAGACACGAAGACACACACACGGTGAACGTTAGGAAGCGCCTACAGATCGCCTAAAGGTCGGCATTCCTGATTCCCTCGCACATATTTGTGGTGATGGGTAAGAAGAAAAGCGCTGAATTCAAGCCGGTCATACTTTCCATGCAAGGCGACGAGAGATGTGTCATTCATAGTTGATAACGTTTTATGTTGTTGAGTTGTGCCGTGGTTACACATCGCAATAAGTACTTAGAGCTTATTACAACTTTTAAACCTTTTCGCGATTGCCATTTACAATATTCTTCTTTGGCAACATCTTGCTAAAAAATTCTGAATTTTAATTGGGATTCTGGCAAAAAAATAAGTACGTGCATTTCTGATAGAAAATGGGTAAAAGTAGTTTAAGTAGTGCATCTCATATACCTCTAGTCCCAGCATTTTGTCCTACGGAAACGGTGATTATAGGGTTTTCGGAGGTGCGGAAATAGGATAAACAGGGGAGGAAATTTTTAGAAAAGTGAAAAAATGTAGTCAAATTTGTTTCCTACGGCCGTCGGGAGGAAGATGTTCCGCATGTAAATTGAATGTGTGCGCGGCGCTTCGCGCCGCGGACTATACTAATCTAACTCCAGGTTGGTAAGTTGGACCTCAAATAGGTTGAAGTAGACGACCTCCTAACCTTAATTTCTACTTTTCGGGAATTTCAAGGAACCTGCATTTTGATAATCGTCTTTTTCCGCAATACTTAAAACGATAATACAGATTAGGGAAGTCTAAAGACATAAATTAACAGTGTTTCTAAATAAATAAAATAAAAATGC